AAATTCAAAAAAAAACCACAAAAAAACAACCTACAGGCATACCTTATTATTATTATTGTTATTATTATTGTGCTTGGCTTTATTGTGTTTCACAGATGTTGTGTTCTTTTACAAATTGAAGGCAAAATCCTTCTACCAGCAAAGATTACAACTTGCTTTATTGTGATACTTGCTTTATTGTAGCAGTTTGGAACTGAACCCACAATATCACCAAAGAGTGTAAAATTCACAATGTCCTTTATCTGATTTTTAAAAAATTTATCAGGTATCAGGGAGGGGGAAACAGGAGAAAATAGTGACCAATAACTCAAAGAAAAATCAGTCCATTTAAGGAGACCCAGAAATGATAAGACATAATGGAAGTAACAGCAAGGACATTAAAAGAGCTATTGTAAATGTATCCCATGTATTCCAGAAAGTGGAAGAAATTTGAACACAATGGTGTCAGAAATGGAAAATATAAAAAGAAACCCCAAATTGAACTTTGTGGATGATGAATACAATATCTGAAATGAAAACCACTGGATGGAATTACCAGGAGATTGGAGAATAGAGAAGAAAATATTAATGAATTAGAAGATAAAGCAATAGAAACTATCTAAAATGTATAGAAAAGACTAGGGATAAAAAATGAACAGAGCATCAGTGCCCTGAGAGACAATATCAGTTGGTTTTACTTATTGATAAAATAAGTAATGGGGACAGGAAAAAATATTTGAAGAAGTAATAGTTGAAAAGATTTCAGATCTGGTGAAAACTATAATCCTATAGATCCAAGAAGTTTAATGAATGCCAAGCAGAAGAAACATAAAAGAAACCACCTTAAGGCATATCATAATGCATTTGACTAAAGCAGTGACAAAGAGAAGAGCGGATAAAGTTGGAAAGAAAATACCTTTCAGCCTTGAGTTGTCACCCAGCAAAAATACCTTTCAGGAAATGGAGGCAAAATAAAAACTTTCACACAAAATCTGAGGAAACACATGCCCAACAAACTATATGCTACATAGAAAATGTTAAAAGTTATTTTTTGGAGAAGGAAAATGATGCTATGTAGGTGTTTGGATGTACACCAAGTAATGAGGGATACCAGAAATGGTAAATACAGTGGGGCCTTGACTTACGAGTTTAATTCGTTCCGTGATGGAGCTCGTAACTCAAATTACTCGTATGTCAAATCAATTGTGAACCAGTGAGACACGTGATGCTGGGCTGATGTTGTGGCGTTCCCTGTGACATTCGCTGCGCCAGCTAGCGGTGGGGTATCTGAAGCTGGCTCGTAACCTGAATTTTAGCTTGCAACTCAACGCAAAAAATCAGCCAAGAGAGGACTCATATCTCGAAAAACTCGTTAGTCTGGATACTCGTAAGTCAAGGCCCCACTGTATGTAAATAAATAGAAAAGACATTTGTTCTCTTA